AAAAAAAAAAAAAAATACAGAGAGAGAAAATAGAATACGATACACTAGGCTAACTAAGTCATGAGTGAGTTTTCGTGCGAAGCGTATAACGCTAAGGATTTTTCAAATTTACCATTGCAAATAAAACAGTGAAACACGCACGAGTCAGTAAATCTCGCGTATACTTGGCTGTAAGCGCGCATATGCTATTGACTTACTGATCAAACATACGATAAAAGTACATGTAATGCCAACTCTCCCGATTTTGTTAACGAGTGCAGTAGCGCTAGCACAATAATTTACAAGACAAAAATAAAAAATAAACAATTGTTAGATGACGTTGTTTCGTCACGAGAGTCCGGAGGGTGCAATATGCCATTTAGCTTTATTGCTTTGTACAAAGAGCTTATTTTCTACGTTCGAGCGTTTGTATTTTTTCGTATGGAATGCCCACTATCGTTTTGAACGATCATAATAATATGAAAAAAGAAAAAGAGAAAAAAAACAAGAGAAGAGAAAAAAGCGGTTTGTATTGTTTTTGTATTTTTTTAAATCGTAAACTGTTGTCGTGAATCCCATTATAATTGTTTTCCACGAGCAGGATTGTATTTCACATCGAACATTATAGGTGCCTTGACGACCAAAACCACACAATGTCCAATCAGATTTTTTTTTTTTTTTTCAATCGTCTTTCACTAGAAAACCAAAAGGGTAATCATACACATACGTTTGATACTATTAAGCTACATGATTAAATAAGTCAACGTCACGTGTGTTGTCATCATTATCACCATACCATTGCGAAAAATGATTTTTTAACTCAAAGGTGCCATGGTAATGTGCAGATGCCCTTACCCATAACAAATTTTCTTGTGATCACATTTTTGAGCCTTTTTTATATTTATTACGAATTTTTTTTCCCAATTTTATTTGGCTTAACTGTAAGGTACGAATAGGACGTCAGTATTATCCGATTGTCAATAAAGAAAGAAAAACTGTGACGGTGTTACTGAGCTGTAGATCTATAGCAATAAAGACTAAGTAGATAAAATATATCACGGCCATGGTGGTTTCATGATGAATTAAAAAAATTCACATTTTACTAATATTCCTGCCAAGGGCCGTAATTTTTAGATGTAGCCAATAACGAAGCAAAAAGCTTTAAATAGGTGATTTGGTCTGCTTGTGAAAAATCTTGGATTGTGAAAAAATTGGAACAGAAAGTAATAAGATATTATCAATAAATGAGAAAATAAAAGTATTATTAGGTACATGATAACTAAACTTATAGCGATCTCTTTGAAATACTATGAAGTTGGGGTGAAAATTCTTAAATAATAATTTTTTCTACTTTTATCGTGCACTCTTATTCATTAAGTTTTACTTTATATAATGTAAGCACGATCAAATATTATGAAAAAAAAAAAAATGTTCCTGCCAAAAAAATTTTGTTTACAGCTGTTATATAAAACTTAAAAATACTATTAGAGGGTTGATGATTGTGTTGCTAATATGTAAATGTAGTCTGACAAGGTAGTCAGCCTCCAGGACTCCAATTTTAATTAAACTTTGGAGAGTATTTTTTTTTTTTTTTTATAAATTTAGATAAAATTTTGTATTTATGGAGCCTTTTCAGCCAAGATACTTGGGGTTTAAAACCATCTTTGATTTCAAATTTATTACAACTTTAACCTACAGCTTCAGTAAATTTTTCGAATGAATAGTAAAATTTTTCATTTGAAAGACTACACAGTGAATAATCACAATTATATTAAAAGATACAGAGATTTAAAGAATGACAAGAAATTTTCATGCGCATTTTAAATAGCAAAGTTATAAATAAAAAATTAAGTAGTACTTTTTAACACAATGTTCGCTTTTGACAGATATTGTATTTTTCAATGTACAACTTCTAAAGTCTTATCTGAAATTCTTTGCTATTTTCAAAATTATAAGTACAAGCAAAGTGAACCAAATTACATATAGATTTAACTTGGCATTTCACTTAGCATTTCCAATAACATCCCCATTCTAAAACTTCATATGAAATTTAAAGTGGAACTGTATGGAAAAGTACTAATAGTATTTATGTAAGTAATAACAATTAACTTCCTCACAAGGGGTAAAATAAGTATCTCGGATAAAAAGGCTCAACCGACAAAAATAGAAAAAAAGTGGGTGTTTTTATTTTTTATCATATATCCACAAAGTTTAATGAACTTGAAGTCGCGGAGGTGAACGTTTTCCTTGTAAGATTGACAAACAGGAAGTCAATAAGCCGTTTAGAAATTTAAGTGAATAATAAGTTTTTGATGATTTATAAATTTTATCGTTGCAAACCAAAAAAATATTTTTGAAACTTTAATTCGGATTATTTAATTACTTATGGAAAGTGCCTGTATGTGTATCGTGTGCTAGTCATTGTTGTAGGTAATATAACGGGTTTTTTTTTCAAGATTTTTCATGGTTTTTTAATTTTTACAATCAGAAAATATACACAAAATTCGATAATGTTCTTTATTTTTTCTAATAAGTTGATGTAGTACACAATCATTTGAATTCCACCATGGTTAAAAATATTCAACCTCCGATGAATGAAGTTCGACAGATATTTCCAGAGATACTTCCCAATAAAAAATTAAATAAATTTAGACGTAAAGCTACCAAATCTACAAAAATATTTATCATACATGAGTATGATACTAAAAAGTGAGTGTTCGAGTGTTTGCATGTATGTCATTTATCAGAGCTGGCTTCAAAGAGTCTAAAATAATAAATTAGAAAATGAAAAATGGTCTTTAACTTCAATTTAACTTGAGTATGAAGCAATTGTTATAGTAGTTTTCCTCCGAGTTTGAAAAGTCTCTGTTTGCGAACCGAGAGGTTTGCGGCCCGAGCCGAAGGCGAGGAACGTTACGAGGTTCGTAAAGGAGACTTTTCGAACGAGTTC